CACACACACACACATATATAGGAGTATGTAACATCCTGAGCCAACCCACCTCAGCTGCACCAGCTTCCTTCAGTAGTTTTATAATGGGGGAGATGGTGTTGCCTCTGACAATAGAGTCATCAACTAGCACCACTCTTTTCCCAGCAAAGTTGTCTGTCAAAGCCCCAAACTTCTTGGCAACTCCCAGCTGCCTCAAGCGGGTATTCGGTTGGATAAACGTTCTCCCAACATAGCGGTTCTTACACAGAACCTCAATATATGGCAGCCCAGACTGTGAGAAGGGAAGGAGAAGAAGAAAGCTTGTGAGGACAAAGGTCCATCAGGTGGTGAGTGTATCACAGCACCTATTTACAGTGCAGACAGCTTGCAGACCGACCTGCTGAGCATATCCCAGTGCAGCAGGAGTTGCAGACTCTGGCACAGTGCTGACCACGTCTGCGTCTGTTGGAGCCTCAATGGCTAACTGCCGCCCACAGCGCTGCCTCACAGTATAGACCATCTGCCCTGCAGTACAGTGGTATAAGATACTGAACATTTCACTTAGACAAGCTATTTCAATGATTCTACAAGAAAACCCAACAGTTATAGACAGTGAGAGGTATAAATAAATGTTCAAACCTTCAAAAATAGAGTCTGGTCTGGCAAAGTAAACATATTCAAATATGCAGAAGGCAGGGAGGTCTCCCTCAGGCCGAGGGACAACACTCAGAGACTTGATGCCGTGCTTGGATATCTGGACTATCTCTCCTGGTAAGACCTCTCTGTAATACCTGAGAATCAGGAAGGACATGAAAATGGTCATTAACCAAAGCACCTCCATTATTATGCAGGAAACATTACACTGATGGCAAAAACTGACCTGGCACCGATGGACTGGAAGCTACAGGACTCTGATGACACAACCCACCCCTCAGTGTCCTCCTCTCCAGCACCTGACCAAAGGGACAAAGAATGACGTTAATCATCCACCAGCATACACATCTGACCTCTGACCAAACCAAGGCCGGCCTGGCTTGAGCGCTGATAAGCTCTCGTGAGGCCTCGTCTTTATCAGCAGAAGAAGTTTTTAACTTTTAAGGACAAACATGTTGAGAATACCTGAACTGTGCAGTTTAGAGATGGGAACAATTCGTCCAATGCACAGGGGTCGATTTCCATAAGGGTCACGCACCGCATAGATAACATCTTTGAACATCACCAACAGCGAGTACGACGTAGGGGTCTCAGTCATCAGGTTTTTAATTCTACAATCCAAAAATAAATAAATAAATAAATAAATAAATAAATGTATTTAAATAGTGCAGTGAAAAAATATTTTTGCAGCATAGTAACAGAACACATAACACTGACCTGGCAACCCAGTCTGGTGCGTCCAGCTCCTCCATAGGTGGAGTCAGCGCCAGCAGTTGGGTGATGAGCTCGCTGTCTGAGCTGGTAGAGAGGCCTACACCATGGCGCATTACCTGCACGCCATATTTACAATGAATGACTCAGCATATATACAGAAATATATACAGAAGTGTTATTTTATGCAGGTTAATATCCATTAGCTTGTATGTTGTCTCAGAGAAGAACATTATTACACACACACACACACAGATTGATTATACAGATGTAATACATACTGGGCCTGGTTTGTCCTTTAATTAGGATTAAGATCCAACAGACCCAGCAACCCAGCAACCCAGTACCAGTACACAGTAAGAGCCATTGATATGCACCAGGTTCAGTGAGACAAACTTGGGGGGGGGGGGCATTCTCACCTTTTTCCGCAGAGCATGCGCATTAACCAGCTCTCCATTGTGTGCCACAGCAATCTTGCCATGCAGTGTATCCACAACAAAGGGCTGGCAGTTCTGCAGCTCTGAGATCCCAGTAGTTGAATAGCGTGTGTGACAAATACCAAGGTTTCCATAGCGCAGCTTCTGAAGAGCCTCGGGTGGGAAAGCAGTGCTCACTAATCCCATTCCCTAAAAAAAAAAAAAAGAAAAAAAGAAAAAAAAAAGGCAAGAGGAATCGGTGAGAGATGTTCTCAGTGACAGTCTGCACAAATAAGAAAGTAAATAGTAATATGCAGCCTTGGTGTTGTAGAGTGGAAAAACAGGTCACAATCTGAGTGGGACAAAGCTTTACAACAAATTCTATTTAACTGTGTCAAACTGTGTGTGACTGTAAATTAACATTTATTTATAGTGCACATTCAATGAAAAGCAGCTGAAATATTTCCTGTATAATGTCTGATGTCTTCAGTCTAATTATACAAGGGGGCTAGACGTAATCAGTGTTACCTTGTGGGTTGTGTATGTGGGTGGACTGGCTCCATTACATGTGACAATCCCGGCACTTTCCTGACCCCTGAGTAGACACAGACAATCACATGTAAACTGTAACGGTGTAAATATATCAGTCAGAAGGGAGTTTTATAAAAGGAACAATCTTTCTGTCTCTTTTCTGCAAGACTAAACATGACAAACTTATTCAGTGCTAAAAGCTTGATATAAGCCTTAAGGCAAACCAAACTGGTTTGCATTGGAAAAACAAAGCAGGAACGAAGGCGGAAATAAAAACCCAGAAATGTGGGTTTCTCTAGTGTGGAGCTGCCATATATGGAGAGTCGTCTTGCTGCAGTTTCAGCCTATTTACCAAGCTGCTTCTCGGATTACACTTCGTCCCGCCCCCTCAGCACACAGCTTAAGCCAGTGGTGAGGCTGCTTTTCTGCATGGAGGCGTTGCTTTCAGGCTTAACCGCCTGGTTGCCAAGGGAACCGGGCAGC